AATTTTATGAAGTTCAAAGTGTAACTGATTTAAAGAATTGAAAAGATTCCAGGCTAAAGAGACAAATCATTATCATCTTTAGTACGAAATTTTGAATGTCGAACGCTCGAATAGAGAAACAGTAAGAACATCTTTAAAAGAAACCTTTTCTATTTAGAAAATTACGTCGATATGAATGACGTCGTCAAGTATGGTCTATTTGAAGAATAATACCGTCAGTGTTCTCATTAAATCAGTCGCGTGTTACCGTCGGGTAAAAAGTAATAGAATTGATTTAAAACGCTTGGAATACTTTGGACTTAAGTTGTAGAAGGAAGCGCATGATTGTTTTGACCTTTTTCCGCGTCGCGTTAAATTCATGGGACAATTATGAATTTTATCTGCTCGAAGACTATGTATTATTGTAAATCGTACACACAGCGAAGTTTTACTCGTTTCGAATGTCGGTCGCGATACGAACAATTATAGCATAGATAAAAAGAAATCGATGAGACTCGCAGAAAATTACACGTATTTTATTTTCATTGGTAATTTACGATGCAAATGTTGTTCGAGGTGATTGATAATTCAACTTTTCGAATGTGACAATAAATTGACATGAAATATTCTCATACGTAAAATTGCAAAAATAAAAAATCTCTGATTGGCATTGTTCATATAAAGCATCATATGATATTTCTATAAAAAAAAAATATAGAATATTAAAAATAAAAACATATATTGATTTACATATATTGCTGTAAGAATGAAATTTTCAAATATATAATTTATGATTTTTTGCAAATTTATAATCTATAGTTTCGTGAAATATCAGATAATACTTTTACGTACGAAATTGCAAAAATGAAAATTATTCGATTCACATGGTTCCATCATTTCATCAGAATATTATGCAAAGTTTCTCAAACGAGTCATCGAGATTTAGTTGAACAATTATCTTGTACAATCAACTGGTAAATTTCAAGCTGTTATACGTACAAAAATCCCAGAATGGTGTTCATAGGATTTCGATGATGAAACACCTTTATCGCCGAACATACCGAGCGCTACTAAACTCGTTGAGAGGCTATTTTACTACTTTACATTGTTGTTGAACTCTTGATTATTGACAATCAATATCAAGCTGCCATATTGGCTATGTTTAAATGATGACCGTGAACCAGGTTTAGGTTGTTTGATGCATAAAAATGGGGGTGCGCGAGTTATGCAACCTTCCTTCGAGTTTAGCGAACTTTATCAATTTCGTTGAAGACACGAAAATACGATTTATGCGGTGATGTTGTTTATCGATTACTCATATGTAATGACGGACAGAAGATTCATTAAATAGATAGAGAACTCATAATTTAATAACGTAACGGTGACGACCACGTTTCTTAATACTTTATTATTTATAAAGCAATGATTCTGAATAATATTCGAGTAAAATAGACGATTTAAATTTTAGAGACTAGATTATGTAATAAAATGTTTAATGCCAGTTGCATGATCTAATATCTAAATACACTTATATTATATAAAAGTAACTATATTCATGTACTACAGTACGGGAGTGACTATAAAAAGAGTCACTTAAATCCTCAAGAGTTCACTTTATTACTTTATCATAGAAATATTTATGTATACGTAAAATCGTATCAAAAATTATTTTCCAGAAGTTTTATTTTATTTTTTGAACATCAGCTACACAATATTATGTGAGAGTGGAATTTTAAAATGTAATAATATTCTTCTGAAAAATTTCTTGTAATCAATTTTGGTCACGTTTTGCATTAGTGCTGTTTACTATCAATGTTTAGCTAGTAATGGTGGTAATATTTGACAGTTTAAAACAAGTTTCTTTAAAACAATCAAACGTCACCGGTTGACATTTTCACAGATAGTTTATTGGAGTTACGTACTAGGACATTTGGTGCAAATTATTGTCTTGCTCTAAGAAAATTATTCTACTTTGAGACTGATGTTAAAAGCTTGTTGTCCATCAGCCGCATTTAATAGCATTCATAATGTATAATATACACTACAACTTGTCTCGCGTGTTTAAACTATGTAACAAATATCGATCGATTCGATTCAATGTCAAAGTTACGTATTCTGGAAAGAATAAGTTTTCAAATTCCGGCCATGGCGTTTTTTTTTAAATACTTTTCTATCATTTTTTATTCCAAAAAACAGAAGAGTAATTCTATACAGTATATTTATAATTATAATTGTAATTAATTAAATGGAATTAAACAGAATAAACAGAAACGAAACTAAGATTAAATAAATTAAAAAAATACTAGCTATTAAAAATGCTTAAAAAATTTTTAAAATATAAGCCTATATATATTAAAATTGATAATAAGAGTATATTCACTGATATTGATATTGATATAATTCACGAATGTTATTTCATTTAATCTTCTAAGATCGACGAAAATACTTTAAAATTAAAAAATAATTTTATTTAATCAATAATTAGTCGTAAGTTTTCTATCGAATCACGAAGTAACAAATTTCTAGCCTCCGAAGGAAAAGAGAAGTTTCACAAAGACGGCAGAAATTCTTTCGATGTTAGAACATTTCTCTCCAATCGACGATCATATTTTCGAAAATGTCACAATGACGAGGTCGAAAATATCAAATGTCAAAGGTTAAAAAAGGAAAGTATATATCGCGAAATATATATAAGAAAAAATATTTTTTTAAATTGTTTACCTCCTTGGTAGCAGAGGTAGTGTGCTACCGAAAAGCCAAAGCTTC